CCCTGGGCAGTGGGGCTCGGGCTTCAGCCCCAGGCCCCAGCAAGTCTAAGCCAGCCCTGGCAACCCCATTCAAAGCAGGTTGCAACCCACTTTGGGGTCCCGACCCATGGTTTGAGAACCACTGGACTAGATTATCACTATGGTCCCTTCTGATCTTAAAGTCTATGAGACTGGCGGGAGGTGTTGTTTTTACCACTGTCATCTAACCATGTATAAACTCCTTCACAAGAAACTGACTTCTACCTTTGCTATGCCAATGGTGAGAGAAATGCTGAATGTTACCAGTATAGATACAGCCTTAACATTGTCCCTGGCTGGAGCACATTGCTGGTTGTTTCCTCCTTTTAGCAGGAAACCTATATGTGCTAACTCCTTAGCACTCTTTTCCCAAAACATCAGGTCTGGCTACCCCAAAATGCACACTTCCCATAATAGTAAGATTGCTCCCTTTCCCAGCCCAAGTTAGCATAGTAGAGAAGTTTCTTTCTCCAGCAAAATCAGGGAAGATTGGAGTTGACATTTATGATATTTCTAAGATAAAAAATAATTCCCTCATTTTAAAAACTGAATTCTTTCAAGTCTTCTGTAAAATTCATAAAGAATCAAAAAAGGCACAAGCCCAATTTTAAAAAAATCTTGCAGGTCACCCTTAAGAACTATGGCCTACTATATTATTAGTTTTTTTATAAGCTTAATTCTTTTCCTTTGCTGTCCCCTCAGAGAACTAAAGGTATTCTTCAGTCCTCATATTGTGTATTTGCTGCCTACCGTGTTATACATTGTGGGTAAGATTGTTTAAGCCCTTATATGGGCGCATGTAGGGAGGGAGAGCATACAAAGACATACCTACACGCAGCCTGCTGGACGAGAGGAGCTGGGACAAACTTAAAGGATGGTTCAGGATGTAAAGTTCCCATGTATGTGATGCCACTTGGATAGGCTCAGGGAGACACAGTCCCACCCCAAACTCTGCGTGGAGTTGGATGTTTCTGAATCCCTCCTATGCAGACCAAAGACTAAAGGCCACAGTTTTGCCCGGTGTTATATGGGAAGTTTTTCTTTTCTTCTGGTGGGGTGGCTCACACATGAGCTATCTGTGTTGCCCTTGTGCCAGATTGCTTGGTTTCAGTTAGCTTTATATTTGTGTTGATGTGTCTTCATTTATTATTTTAATCATAGAATCATAGAACTGGAAGGGACCTCGAGAGGTCATCTAGTCCAGTCCCCTGCACTCACAGCAGGACTAAGTATTATCTAGACCATCCCTGACAAGTGTTTATCTAACTTGCTCTTAAAAATCTCCAATGGTGGAGATTCCACAACCTCCCCAGGCAATTTATTCCAGTGCTTAACCACCCTGACAGTTAGGAAGTTTTTCCTAATGTCCAACCTAAACCTCCCATGCTGCAATTTAAGCCCATTGCTTCTTGTCCTCTCCTCAGAGGTTAAGAACAATTTTTCTCCCTCCTCCTCATAACAACCTTTTATGTACTTGAAGACTATTATCATGTCTCCTCTCAGTCTTCTCTTTTCCAGACTAAACAGACCCAGTTTTTCCAATCTTCCTTCATAGGTCATGTTTTGTAGACCTTTAATCATTTTTGTTGCTCTTCTTTGGACTTTCTCCAATTTGTCCACATCTTTCCTGAAATGTCATGCCCAGAACTGGATACAATACTCCAGTTGAGGCCTAATCAGTGCGGAGTAGAGCGGAAGAATTACTTCTCGTGTCTTGCTTACAACACTCCTGCTAATAATCCCAGAATGATGTTTGCTTTTTTTGCAACAGTGTTACGCTGTTCACCCATATTTAGCTTGTGGTCCACTATGACCTCCAGATCCCTTTTCGCAGTACTCCTTCCTGGGCAGTCATTTTCCATTTTGTATGTGTACAACTGATCGTTCCTTCCTTCCTAAGTGGAGTACTTTGCATTTGTCCTTATTGAATTTCATCCTGTTTACTTTAAACCATTTCTCCAGTTTGTCCAGATGACTTTGAATTATAATCCTATCCTCCAAAGCACTTGCAACCCTTCCCAGCTTGGTATACTCCACAAACTTTATAAGTGTACTCTCTATGCCATTATCTAAATAATTGACACAGATATTGAACAGAACTGGACCCAGAACTGATCCTTGCGGGACCCCACTCGTTATGCCCTTCCAGCATGACTGTGAACCACTGGTAACTACTCTCTGGGAACGGTTTTCCAACCAGTTATGCACCCACCTTATAGTAGCTCCATCTAGGTTGCATTTCCCTAGTTTCTTTATGAGAAGTCGTGTGAGACAGTATCAAAAGCCTTACTAAAGTCTAGATATACCACATCTATCGCTTCACCCCTGTCCACATGGCTTGTTACCCTGTCAAGGAAAGCTATCCAGTTGGTTTGACAAGATTTGTTCTTGACAAATCCATACCAACTGTTACTTATCACCTTATTATCTTCTATTATCTGCAAATTGATTGCTTAATTATTTGCTCCATTATCTAACCAGGTACAGCTGACTGGTCTGTAATTCCCCAGGTTATCCTTATTTCCCTTTTTATAGATTGCCAGTATATTTGTCCTTTTCCACTCTTCTGGAATCTCTCCAGTCTTCCATAACTTTTCAAAGATAATCGCTAATGGCTCAGATATCTCTTCAGTCAACTCCTTGAGTATTTTAGGATGCATTTCATCAGGCCGTGGTGACTTGAAGACATATAACTTGTCTAAGTAATTTTTAATTTGTTCTTTCCCTAATGTTTTGTATTCGTTTCATTGTATGGCAGTTTTATGTCTGTTGATTTATGTGCCATATAAATGTTTCAAAGAAATGATATCACACTTTGAGAGTCTAACGGACAAATTGTGTGGTCTTTACTATTTCCTTCCTTAGGCAAGACTTTCACTAAAAATAAATTCTCATACTGCGAAAGCAGCTAAATGTCAGCTGAGCTAGATTTATTGTTTTAAATGGCAAAACAACTAGTGTTATTTGTAGACAAGCAAAAAAGAACAAATTCATTTAACATACACAGAATATAACATTATTGAATAATTCCATGAGAAAAATTCACGGTGTTATAAATTGGGTTAAGCCTAATTTAAACTTGGTGGGTCTTACCCCTGCACTTCCTTTAAGATAGTTGAAACAGTTCAGCTCCTTGATGAAATAATAGCAGTCCCTGCCCAAAACAAAGGTACATGGAAGGCCACTGAACAATGTTGGCATTGTTAGGCCTAGGAGCCTTGCTAGGTAATCTCTGAGTGTGAAGAGAGTGGGTGAGAGACAAACAGAGAGGCACACAGAAACAAAGGAGGAAACTCCAGATGCAGCATGGAAAAAACCCACTATGTGGCCTGAGAGAAGCATGGAAGGGTGCCTTTGGGTTGGATGCTGGCTACATGAGGTTGGGGGCTGTGAGCAAGGAAATAACCTCCTGGTGTTTGTTTCCTCTTGTGTTCAGGGAAACAGGACTTTGTACAGTTTTTTGTAAATAAGCAAAATTGCATTAAAGTAGTACCTGGCTCCATCACCAAGATATCCTCCCAACAGAAACAATCGACAAGATCCCATATTTTTGGCTAGTCAGTTGAGTGAAATGGGGGTAACATTAGGTTAATTGGGAATCAACAAAGCAAAATTTACCATTTTTATAAATATCTCTTTATCTCACTTCTGGTTTATGATGAAATATACATACTACTCAAAGCGCATTTCTGTGGTTCTTGTGGTTTGTTGTCATCAAAACATTCTGATTTAAATAAGTCAAGTGCAGCCGATATGGTTTTGTGGGCTGTCTTTTTCCTCTGTATTGTATAAATAGGTTAATTCCATTGATTGAATGTATTACATTTTGCAAACTTCAAATTCTCATTAAAGTTCTGAAGATTTACATTACACTGTCTTTCTTGTAAATGTCTGCTTATCTGGATGTAAAGAACTACATGGGCATGTATGTCTGCATTGGAAACATTTTCAAACCAGTTATAAAACTGATTAAAATTACAATGTACTCCTGGTTTGGGCAGCTGAAGGCAGCCTGACCCATTTTAAAAGATTGTTGTATGCAGTGTTGTAGCTGTGTTGGACACATGATATTAGAGAGACAAGGTGGATCTTTTATTGGACCAACTTCTGTTGGTGAAACAGACAAACTTTCAAACCTAGAAGAGCTTTGTGTAGCTTGAAAACTTGTCTCTCTCACCAACAGAAGTTGGTCCAATAAAAGACGTTACCTCACCCACCTTGTCCCCCCATTTTAAAAGAGCCAGTTTCAAAACCACAGTGGGCCAAATTCACCTTTGGTGTAAATGTCAGTGAAGTCGTGCCTACTTAAACTAGCCTTGAATTTGGCTCTGTATTTTTAAAAAGCGTGCATGTCATTTGAATTTTGTGTTTAGTTCAAGACTAGCAGAAATCAAATTTTAAGCCGAGAGAAGACTGCAAAAAGGTGCCTGGACTACCCTTTGTCAGAAAACTCAGCCATTGGTAGAAACCGGCATGACATGTTTCAACCCCTTGTGTTAAAAATGCCCGTGCTCCAGCTATACGAGCGCTCCTGTTGTTGCTACCTCTGGTAGAACTGCATTGGTGGCAGTTCAATAGCTGACGATTTCTCAACAGAAAGCTCGTGTAGACACAGCCCCAGTGTGGCAGCCATACCTGGATCAGACAGCAAGAACATGCTACAACAGGACGCCTTTGTCGTCTAGATTTGAAACTACTAAGTAGAGTAAACATATATATTTGTATGACTCTCCCGTGTCAGTTCAGAGGAGAACTAAACGATTTTAGTGGTTTCCGGGTAGTCTAAAGCACGGGGCATGTAAAAAGTGTGTAAGTTTAATGACTGGAAATACGTTCCCTGCTTCTCTGGGATCAGTTGCATTACCGCACTGGATGCGTCATCGCACCCTCTCTGGTTGTCCTTCCAAAATTACTGCTTTTTAAAAAGATATGTACGTGCCGTTCTTTAATCCAATATGCCAATAACCGATTTTTTTTTCTAGGTGACTGATAATGGTGTCATAGCACTAGTTAGTGGGATGTGTTCGAAGAATTTAAAGGTAACTCATCTAACCTATTCCAAGCACAAAGCAATGTTAAAAGCAAATATGGTACATTTTGTACATTTTTAAAATTCCAGAGGAAAAATCTTATTTATATTATCAAGTTACTCATTTACATTTACATGTACAATTACCACGACTGTGGGCATGAATCAAGTATTAGGCAGCCTTCGGGTCACCAGCTTTTGTCAGAGACATAGTTTGAGTGCTATATTTGGGGGGGTGGGGGCAAACGCACATGCGTGGTTCACTGACTGACTCCCCCCGCCTGAAGTGATACCTAGGTTGCCAGTGCTGGGGGGGACAGGACGGCTTAACAGGGGAGCCCCAGCAGCTGCTGGCAGCCACTCTGGCACCGGCTGCTGCCGTGATGTCACTGCCCTGGTGCTGCTTTCCGTGAAGAGCAGCCCAAAGTGGAATAAAAAAAGCAAGTCATACAGCAAAAATTGTTCTTAAAGACTAAGGCCTTTTCTACAGTGGTCGTTTTTACATCAGTGTAGCTGCAGTAAGGTGCAATCTTCAGCAACACAAGGGTCAGCAGAGCAGGAAGAGTTGAGGCCTGGTTGAATTCATAGGAATGCATTCAAAACTTAAAAATCAGTTTCTTCTTTATAATTAACAACTCTAAGAGGCTATGTCACAGGGTGGCTGGCCCTTTAGGGGGAGTTGGGCCTAACCTCATCTGTGACTGTTCAAGGGGAAAGACCCGTCGGCCGCTGCAGCCTGCTTTGGTTAGGAGGATAGCTTTGTGTGGGTGTTACCTTGTGAGTTGTACGTCTGAAGAATAAAACTGTGCCCTGAAAGAAGGGCCCGAACAGACTTTGGAGGTAGCGTTAGTCCTTTCTGATGTTGCATGTTTGAATTTGAATAATGATAATAGGAGATGCCAAATAATTAGCTTAATTGGAATATATTTAATCAGAGATTATAGAATAGAGAGTAATACAGCAGAACTCAGATGAATGTATATGTCCTGTTGTCTGGAGTGGCTCGCAACTGTGAGTGCCTACCTCAGGGCAGACTGTCAAAAGCAGGGCAGACACCCCAGTCTGGTGGTATGTTTTATAATTAATTTCACCAACCCAGTGAAATCCCTGAGTACTACAATAGTCTTATATACTTCGTTGCCACCCAGGCAAGCTGGACTATGTGATAAATGGTTACTTACACCTAACATCACAAATATTCCAGGTTACCTGCAGTCCCAAGAGTCCTGAGTTGCATCCTAGATCTCACACCAAAGACAACACTGGTAGCCAGTTCTAAAGGTTTATTAGCTAAGAAAAAGAAAATAGAGTTATTGAAAGGTTAAAGCAGGCAAAATATATGTACAGGTGAGTCACAGTCTATCATTTCAAATGGTAGCTGAGATGTAATAATCTGCCAGTTTCCCAAAAGTCTTTTAGGGCTACCCAGAATAATTCTGGGGATCTCTGTCTTCTTGTTCTGTTATTCTGCCCTGTTTGAATCCAAACATTCCAGAGATGAAGGAATTTCCTTTATATCCAGATTTGTATTCGTTCTCCTAGAACAATCTGACAGGATAGCTACCCTGTGCCGTGATTTCTTCTTAGATAGCAGTGAGAGAGGAATGCTTTTAGAGTCTTTGAACTCTTTGAATGCCCTCACAATAACCAATTGCTTTGAAGTGCGGAGATGCATTACCTTTCTGATAAAGAGTACTTTATTTGCATTACACAAGGCTTTTTCCATGTTTGGAGGATTATTTAGATATTGGGGGTCATATACAATGCAAAAAGTTAAGATACGGGTACATGAAAACAGTACATACAGAATCTCATTAATTTTATGAAGTTTAAACACCAAACATATTCACTGACATTTAACAGCCTCCTTTGATTATCTGCTAATACACAAGTGGATTGGCCTAACTTCCTGTTTTCAGCTGAGCCAACAGTTCTGACCAAAGCTGGAGTCAGCCTCATATTGTACTTTACCAAACCGATATGACAACCAAAGAAGTGCGTGCAGCACAATTCACTCCAAATTCAACTGCCTCAAAACTCTTTTCCTGTGAAGGGGTTTGAACAAAGAAATTATTTTCTCATGATTGATTTAACTGAGAGTTCTCTCTTAGGTGTCTCTATTTACTTAATTGTAGAAGACATCTGTAACTAATACATTATTACCAAAACTATCCATGTAAACAAATGATTCTTATTGACTTGGAAATCAATCCGTGGTTCATTATCCCATCAATTAGAGAAAATGTGGCTGATAAGGGGACCTTGTTGATCATCAGACCAGCATCTGTCAACCACAGCACATATCTTTAGTAATAGGTAAGGCTGCGAGTCTGTCTTGGAGGTCAAGGAAGTCACGGATTCCGTGACTTTCTGGGACCCCTCTGACTTCTGCAGTCACAGTGTGGCTGTCGCCAGGGCTGCCCTAGCAGCTGGGGCAGCCCTGGGGTCAGCCGCACTGGCTGCTGGTTGGGTGGCCCCAGGCAGCTTGCCCCGGGAGATGCCAGAGTAGCCGCGACACCCCGGGCTGCCCCCTCAACCCCCGGAACAGCCATGGCATGCCCCTCCCCTTTCCCAAGCAGCAGCAGCGCCCTGGAGTCCCCATCCCAAAAGCCGCAGCAGCACCCCAGCGCCCCTAAGATTTAGTCAGGGGTGTTTATAGTACACGTCATGGACAGGTCACAGGCTATGAATTTTTGTTTATTGCCCGTGATCTGTCCATGAGTTTTACTAAAAATACCCGTGACTAAAACATAGCCTTAGTAATAGGCACCCTTTGTTAATCACCGGTGTTTCATTAATCACAGAACACGTGTGATCATCATTTTTTGCCAATTACCAGTGTTCCCTCTTTGGACATCTGGACACAATTCTTCACAGGTCAGTAGATTCTGAATAGAGAATAAGATTATACGAATTCCTTTATTGACGATGTATATTTCCTCATTTAATTATTGTGACGTTTTGGGGATCGCCCAGACCAGTAAGAGGTTATGTCACTGCCTGCCCTGTAACTTTGAGTGTCCTAATGCTGTGCTGCTATGTCACAGAGCCCGGACACCAGTATCCAGCCCACATGCATATAGGTCTCACGCTGCCTTCCACCAGCCTAGTTACCCCAGGCAGGGTGATCCAAACAGCCTGTCCAGTCCCAAGCCTCCCCAAATCCATCCATCCCAAGTTCTCAACTACCAGGCACTCGGACTTTTCCCCTCTGGTTAGTCACCCCCAAAGGTGTGAAACCAGCCCCGCAGACACCAGCTTGCTTTGGCACATACATTCCATACAGTTTGCACACCAGAGACCTGTTTGAGATAAAAACAAACAGTTCATTTAATAGAAAAAATCACAGATTAAAACATGAAACAGCAAGGGAAACAAATATAAAAGAGCAGAAAACAAACATAAAATGCAACTTTAAGCTTTACACTTTTAAATTACATTAATAATTCCTTTTCTAATACAAGTGACCTATTGGCTTTGAACAGTTTTTCAGTATACCTCCTAACTGTAGGGAGGATCCAGTGTTTTACAGACAGCTTCCAGCCTACATGCTGTCCCTCAATTTCTGGATACTCTTCTGTTCAAATCCCTTCCACTTTTAATGGCTTGCAGGGTTTTTTCCTTCAACCACTATAGATACTCAAAGTGGGGAAAACTCCCTCCTTTCTTAGGCCTAGTCTACACTCGGAAGTTACATCTGATATAGTGAAAAATCCGACGGTAGGTCAACAGAAGGTGGATTACCTATGCCCATGGGAGGTGGATTAACTATTCCAATGGGAGAAGCCCTCCCGTCGGCGTAGGTAGTGTCTACATTGAAGTGTGACCGCAGTGCTGTAGCATTTTAAGTGTAAACATGTTATGCTTAAATAGAGCAGACAAGATCTTTTTTATAGGGGAAATGGCAACACGCCGCATTTATTGAGAATACAGCAATTAGCATATGCTTTTTAGTCTGAGTCCTGCCAGTTGCTGTTTATAGTTACCAGTTCAGAGTCTGGATCAATCTAGTGGCCAGCCAGATTGGTCGCAGAGGGGAGCCGGGCTCTGTTGGTCACGATCTGATGCTTTTGGAGTAGTGGCAAGATGAACCCAAAGTCCCATGGGAAAGCACTCTGTTTTTATAGTCTTTTTGTAGTTGAAATTTATGGATTTTGCTGTGTCAGTTTGTGACCAGTTACTTCTTAATTGGTGTTATTTGTTGATGGCCCAAAACACCTCAGAGAGGGTCATTCTGTCTGGTTTTGATTTAATTAATTATTTTGTATTTTAAGGGTGCCTGCCTTTACCCCAGAATCGTCAGTCTGCCCCTCCTCAACCATGGATGCGCTTTGATGGTTCTCTGGCGTCTTTGAGTTTCTTCAGTCTCTTTAGTTTCTTCACTTTTTCTTCTTGGGCCATCTGGCTTCAAAAATGGCCTTTACACTTTATTTTTCCCTGATGCATACATTCCTTATTCACACAAAACAGTTCTTTGCAGAGACCTTCAAAAGGTAACAAATAGCAGTGTTTTATGTTGAACAAGAAAGGCATTATAAATTAGACCTTACTAAATTTTGTAACTGTCCTTTCCCACACTGGGGCCTGGGCTTGCAAAATTCCTCTAATTTAATTAACATAGACACAGACAAAATCCTGTCTGTTACTTACAAGGCATAAAAATAAAATGGCTAATACTAGTATCCACTATCCTATTCATTTATTCTAATATCTTAATTCTTACTATAAAACATACACTGTATATAGCCAAAACATAAACAATTTTATAGCACGGTGCCCATGGTACAACAAACATACCCTTAGTTTTCCAAGACTGGGGTTTCTTTTCAGTTTCAGGTTGTTTCAGTGTTTTCCCATTAACTTGAATAGCCCATCATTTGTCTTTTGCTGGGTTGTACAATATTTGGTGCTTGGAGCTAGTCTCATCTGGCAGGGAAGGAAGCCCCTCCCTGTCTGACTTGCCTCACGATGAGGTGGCACTGAACGTTGCAGCACAACTTATGAACTCAGTTTTTATATGTACACAACTACATAGCCACAGTCTGTATACATACCTCATAAGGATCATCAAGTTCAAAACATTATAAGCTTTCATAAAAGACCTTGCTCAATACAAGTCTACAGCACAATAATACAGTATGCGATCAGTTGGTTCAAGTGCTCTTTTTTGGAGTTTAAACCTTCTGTTCTCCTCTTGGGTGTCTGGATCCTGACTGTCATAGTTACCCACTAAGGTTCAACCTAAGTACCAAGAATTTCTTATAAATCTTTGTGCATATATGTTTGTTCAGAAATCTTTGTGCACAAAAAAGGACTTCATTTTCATAGTTAGTTTACAGAGCTGGATATTTAACCTAATAATCACCATCTGTGCGGATCTATAAAATTAGAATGGACAGCATAAAAGTTGTGCTTCAGAAGTTACCAGGTTTTTGTTCTCGTAATAGGAAATCCACATGGAACGCTGTGTGACTCTGACAGATGTAGCTGTGGAAGCTGTCCTTACCTGCTGTCCGGCGATATATATTCTGCTGTTTCATGGATGCCCACTGATAACAGGTTAGTCAAATCAAGCAGGTAGCCAGCAAAGTATTCACTCCAAAGTCAGCCCAACATATGGCACAAGGAGCGTGCCTTTTTTCTGTCTTGAAAGCACTCACCAAGTTGTGGATGCTCCTGAAAACAAATAACAAATGATTATTAATGATAGTGATGTAAATATACAAGGGTTTTTCCAAAACAGCAAGGCAATGTTCCTGCCTCTGAGACTTGGCAGTTGAACAAAGACAAAACCAAGACACAACAGGTCAGGCACATGTTGGTGTAGCCACAGCATTGGTGGAGAGATTGCAAAAGTAGTAGGTTTTAAAGAGCCGTTCTGCTCTGAAAATTTACTGTGCAAAATCGATACCTTATTTAAAAGGCTTTCATGTTTAATGAGTTTCTCTTTGATTTATCTTAGCTTTGTTTCCAGTCCTTATATGTAGCTGAAACTGTATTGGTGTCAATAGCGGTTGATATCCCCCTAGTGACTTTTTTTGATCCCCAAGCAGGCCAGGGAATAGGACATCAGGTTTTCTGATTCCCAATCAAGTCCACTATTCACCTGACTATGCCACCTCCCATTTGTTCTTAGTTTTCATATGTGACCTATCTGGTGTGTCCATGTACCACCCACCTCACACAGTGGTTGGCTCTGTAGAAACTGGTAAGTAAATACATTGCGCAGAACCAGATTCTAATTTCACACAGATGCAAATCAGGAGGAACTCCACTGAAGTTGTGCTAGTTTGAGAGGAGATTCAGGCTGCTTAAGAGGACTGTTGCAGCTGCTTTGGGAACCTATAACTTTGTCTTTCCTGAGTCTTTTGTGATTATGAAAAGGCCAGTTTTTAACTGTGCATTAATATAGTGGCTTTGCATTTGGTAAAACTAATATCAAGAATAAACACTTAGCAAGCTATGAATAAACTCAGTTGGAACTGATGATGCAGGCAGGGGTGCACTGGGGAGTGGGCAGCCCCTCTTCTTGTCCCCTGACTGGAGCTGGAAATTTGGCCCAGCCACACATCTGTCATGACCAAGGAGGGGTGGCTAGACCAAATCTGAGTATCACTGTGGCCTCATGTGTCTGCTTTTCATCCCCCACATCCCACCCACCACCACCTTTGCAGTCCTTCCAGCACCCATGGGCACTGGGAACCCCCAGTCCCGTGAAGAGTAGGCAGATTAGATCTGGGCTTTTGGGGAAGTGGAGATGCAGAAGGAGGAAGGGATCCGGGGCTCTCAGACCTCTGGCCCCTGCTGGAGCTGGTGCTCCTCAGCCTGATCACCTCTCTGAGTAAGAGCTCAGTGCTGGGTGTGAGGCAGGGAGAGCTCAGCCTGGTGTGGGAGCAGCAGGGGGGCAGTGTGTGGAGCTGGGTGCAGGGCTGGGGAGGGAGAGCTTTGGGCATCTTCCTTAGGAAAAGTATGGTTGCACTCCTGGGTGCAAGAGTAATTGGTCATTCCAGCAATGTGAACTGAATTGAGTCAATGAAAAGATGGAAAAAGCAGTTTTCTTTGGGGATCAGACGCAAAGTATCTTAGCCCCCATTCAGGAAAGCGCTTAAACAGATGCTTTAAAATTAAACACCGGCTTAAGTGTTCTCTTTTATCGAGGCCTTAGATAGGATTTACCCTGGAGGTGGTTCAGCTGGATTCAATTTGTAATTGTTTTGTTGGTCCTTTCATTTTCTTCTTGAGTTTCTACCTTAAAAATTAGAAGGTGGTGCTCTTTTCTTAGTGCTATGTGGCCTTCTGGTTATCATGGGATTGTCACTTTCTCCATTGTATGGTGCCTGGAACAATGAAGCCCTAACCTGCTAGCACAATATGAATGTTAAATAGTGATACAATGTTGGCCTTAGCCCAGGAATTACTTAAACTTTAAACATAGAAAAAAGCAGATTTTTTTTTATTAGTGCACCAGAAAAGCCTTTTAAGGTGCTAAGGTTATCATCTTTGCCTATCATTCTGATCGTGTCATTCCCACCCCTATCCTCTTCAATCTTCCACTGGTTTTCCTTTTTCCTCTGCATCAAGCTCAAGCTTCTTGTCTTCACCTTCAAAGCTCTTCTCAACTCCGCTCCTCACTACTTACCCAGAATTTTCTTTTATCGCTCTGCCCTCTCCTCTCCACCACAGATGATAGCCTGCTCTGCCCATTGGTTCATTCCTCCCATAACCAACTTCACACCTTCTGCCATGCTGCCCTTTGTATGTGGGATGCTATTCTTGAATTGATCTGTAGGCCACTACCCTCTTCTCTTTCAAACCACCTCAAGACCCACAGCTATTCAGATGCCTACCAAAAAAAAAAGGCCAACTAGTACTGAATAGGTTGAGGGGTAGTTGAGTGTATTTATTAAATAATAAAGGAAAAAAACCCTACCTTGCCAACATCTATCCTTGTAATCTAGTGTCTGGTTCTTGATGGTGCTTTATTATTATTAGGTATAAAGAAGAAACTGCACAATTTTGAACTATTACAGATATAAAAGTATCTGAAATGTGATTTTTTTTCAAATGTCCATTCCCAGAATATGGAGCAAACAAAAAAAAATCCATATTTTGTGCTAATGGCAAATTAAACAAATATGAAGAAATAAATTATTCCTGTATCTTGTTGTATTACAAAATTCTTTTGTTTGCACAGTATCTGTATACATTATAAACAATTAATAACGTTTTTTTTCTTGTGCTTTTTTTACAGATCGTTCCCGAGAAGCCTTGGAGCAATTAGTTGGACCAAACAAAATTAAGCAAGTGACATGGACTGTTTATTGATTTGTATATAAAGTTTCCAGATGGTACAGCTTTTTCAGGAAACAACCATCTCTGGGGAACAGCTTTCTCTCTGGTATCCACTGTCTAGTAATACCAGATTCCTTCATTCTTTGTTTGTACTAGAGCTCTCTGTCAGCATCCAAGTCCTTTCATGTCTTAGGTGTGCCTGTCAATACCCTGTGAAATGATATTTCCTGTAATTAAAGCAACGGCTCTCTTTACATCACAAGTCTGATCATCTTTTTGGGTGAAAAACACAGTTCACACCAATTTAACGAGAATAATTAATTTTGAAGCTTTATGAAAAAATTTAGGGCAGTATATTAGCGCCTTAATTATAGCACAAAGCATATGTAAAACAGATAAAGCAGGAGAGGATCAGAGAGTGCTCAGTTCCCTAGTCCTAGTGCAGAGGTCTCCAAACTACGGCCCATGGGCTGGATCTGGCCCGGGGCTTCTGTTTGTCCGGCCCTCCAACCAACAGGGGCGAAGCAAACAGCTGAGTAGGCAGGGGGAGGAGCCGCCGGCAGCAGCTCATGCTGGGTGGCAGCACAGCTGAGCTGTGTGGAGGGGTGAGTGCCCCCGGGAGCCAGTGTCCCCACGAAAGGGGAGCCAACTTGGGGAGAGTTGGTGCTGCAGCCAAGCAGGCACGGACCCCTGCCTTAGAGTAAAAATACAAGCCAGATGCTTAATTACATCTCCAATAAATGGGGGAAAGAAGATGGAAATTAACAATTTCATAATGGTTACATTTTAACTACAGCACTAATAGAACCAAATAGTCCCAACCAGCTGAGTAGAGTAGCGTTGTGTTTTTAACGATTTTGCATATAATTTGCATATATTTAATGTCTTTCACAGTCGCTTCAGCCCGCGAAGCCCCTTCAAAAATCTAATATGGCCCTCATCTCATAAAGTTTGGAGACCCCTGTCCTCGTGCATAGTCGGCTGTTTCTTTCATCACCAGGGCTAGACAAGTTTGGCCTTTTGGGAAGGGTTCTGTGTTGCTCCAATCATTCTTAACACTTCACATCCTTTTATACGCTTACATAACCCCTACATCACGCATGCCCATATCTAATCACTCTTTTCCTTTGTCCATATTTAATATATTTCATTCTATGTACATGCTTCATTTTATACAAAACACCGTTCTAATTGGTTCCTTCAAATCAATCACATGCAGTTCATGCTTAATAAACACCTTATTTGCCCATTCACGTTATCCAGATGTTTCCTGTTAATCTCAATGTATCTGTTCTTGCGCCCTGGATGATTTGGGTGCACAATAGTTTGTTTTTCTCAAGCATCCTATTATTTGATATTTTGCAAGCATCCATTTTTCTTTACTTTTAGTTAAAAGACACATTGACAATTTTAAACCAGATAGTACGCTAACATTAAACAACTAAATTATCCACTCTTAATAAAGGCCACACAACTTAACATTATTATTACATATTATTCTTAAACCTTGCCAAGAGGTTGGTCCACTTAACAATAGATCTTATCTTAGCAATAGGCCCTTTGTCCTAGTGGTCAGCAGGTTTGGGCTTGGCCTTAACTCTTACTTAATATATGTAGTTAATATGACCTTACAATGTTTTGATTCTCCAACAGTATTTCATTAAGAAAATAGTTTAAAATTATTATTATTTGTATTACAGTAATGCCTTGGGGCCCCAGGCAATAATCAGTAATGCCTAGCATCCCATTACACTAGATATTGTACAGACATGGTAAAAAGGCAGTTCCTACCCTGGAGAGCTTGCCGGCAAACACTTAACTTTCATTTGAAATCCCAAGCATAAAGTTAAGCACGTGCATAAGTGTTTGCAGGATTGGGACCTAAATCTATTACTAGATAAGCAGGTGGATAGAACAGGTGACTGTAGGTAGGGTGACCAGATGTCCAGATTTTATAGGGACAGTCCCGATTTTTGGGGCTTTTTCTTATATAGGCTCCTATTATCCCTCACCCCCTGTCCCGATTTTCCACACTTGCTGTCTGGTCATCCCAACAGTAGGGGACAGAAACAGTAAAACAAGCATGTTCTGCCTAACAAACAGTAGTCGCAGTTTGCCGCCTGCGTAGCTGTCGTTTTCCACAGGCCCAGCTATGTTCACCTTGAGGTGTTATTCCTTAAGATACGTTTAATGCTGCTCTTTTTGGCATTGATTTGAGCTTATTTGGTTTTTATACGCCCCAAAGCACAGCACGTATGCTGTTAAATGCGACGTTGGCTTGAATCAAGAATAACTCCACTGAGGCTCAATTGAGTTACTCGGTTAAAAACTTGGTGAGAGGTCAGGATCGGGCTCCGGTCGTACGCGTGTTTGAATAAAATGTGTTGCCCTGTCAAAGCAGTATCCTCGGGACAGGGGGTTGTCCTTGAAAGAGACTTTGCTCATCTCGGCGTGCAGGCATTTGTACACAGTACAAGTTGACAAGATATCGCCAAGTCAAACACTAGAGGTAGATGATAGAAGACCATAACAGATCTGCATGCAAAATTTAAAAGCAAATATAAGCTGCATCTTCCTTTAACATGACACCATGCCCCACTGTGAGAACAAAGAATGGTGAATAATTTCAAACAAACCTATTGTGAGATTCGCAGCATTTCTGTCCCACTGGAAAGGAATGTTTTCACCCCCTTTGCAGATTGCTCCTCCTCTGTTTGAAGCTTTGAGGAGCTCCCATCTTTGGTGGCTTTTCACTGCCATCCTGGGGTTCTGTATAACAGCTTTCTTCCCTGGCTCAGTAGCTGGAAGAATAGCAGCCTCACAGCGGTTAGTGCTCCTTACTGCAGCTGCTCATTCTTCTAGGGAGCACTACTTTATGCAAGCAGAGATGGACCAATCCTTGTGCCTTACTGGTTCTCATGCCTGCTGAGCCTCTAAATCAGTGGTGGGCAACCTGCGGCCCATGGGCCGCATGCAGCCCGTCAGGTTAGTCCGCTGGCGGGCCGCAAGACAGTTTGTTTACATTGACCATCCGCAGGCACGGCCACCTGCAGCTCCCAGTGGCTGCGGTTCACTGCTCTAAAATGCTGCAACCTAATCGGTTGCAGCAGTCACACAGGATGTATTGCAAGGCAATTCTAGTGCACATCCCTCCCCATCAGGGAGTATGGTGCCCAGATCAATGCCAGGAATCCCATGTGGCAGGGCAATAAACTATCAGTAGGCCCCAAAATAGGAAGAAACTAATTTTCAAGGTTGGATACTTAAATTCATGTGCCTATAAGGCCCTAAATGTAGATTCAGATGTCGAAGCACTTAGCTAGAGTGGAGATTTGCCCCAATTATAGCCATCCTGGTCCAGCCAAGGGTATAGCTGCCCGAGTGCAAATAGCGGCTTTACCTGCTTACACTAGTAGGGGGGTTTGCACCTGTGCAGCTATGCCAATGGCTGTAATCAGAGCAACTCCCCACTGTACACAAGGCCTTAGTGCTGATTTTGGTGAATAAATAGGGATTTAGGCGACAAACTTTGAAAATTGTTCCCTCAGTTACATATAAGCGAGTTATTGAACTGAACATGGTCTTCCATAACCTGTGTAACTAACACATTGCACAGGAACAGAGATCAGCGATTACACTATAAAATACTTGTGTATACAAATGTTGGTGTTTTGGGGCGGGGGGGGAGGGGATGGAAACCTAGCCTACTGTCTGCACTTATATGAAGATTTAGTTTAATTCTTCATATTCTATTTTGTCCCTAGTTGGTGTTACTTATGATAAGTTGTGTTGGGTTATGCACTTTGGAGAGGAGCACTGCAAAAAAAAATTGTGTTGTATTGAAAACTAAATCCTTTAAATTAGATGGGCTGGATAAGTATTTTTTCAAAGTTTGCTTAAGTGTATTGACATTTTTGTATACTTCCAAGCAGTTGAAAGCAGTTCAGAATCATAGAAATGTAGGGCTGCAAGGGAGGGACCTTCAGAGTTCATCAAGTCCAGCCCCTTGTGCTGTAGCAGGACCAAATAAACACCATCCCTGACAGGGGTTTGTCCTGTTACCCAGGGTTCTTTCAACCCAAAGCTCTTGGTAACTTTTACTCTGTGTGAGGTGGTGTCAGGAAATAAATCAAGGGAGACATGGCCGTCCGATCGATAGATGGCTGGCACAAACAGGACAACAAAAGAGTGCTTTCACTTAAAGCTAAACTTTACTTAGTCTCAAGCACTTACACACGTGCGCAACAGGTTAGTAAAACATCCCCAACCCTTGAGGGTGGCTCTCGAGTGACACAGCGGCAGGCTTCTGTTGGCCAAATCTTCCGTCTCGTCTGGTGGGGACCGCAAGATGTATCCAGAGGGAGAGTCCAAAAGAGTCCAACTACCTCAAACTTTTCGCCTTATTTCATTAGTAATAGAACGACATGTCCCTTAAAAGAAACTTAAGTAAGCAGTTTCAGTGGTCAGCAAAAGGTTTCCTTCTGATTATTAATTAACCAGGTGTGGGTTTTTCCAGAGTTTGCAGCCTTGAAGCCCTAATAGATATGGGGCACATCCTGCTTTTCTAAAATGCATGTATCAGCAACTTCAACACAATTCTTATCAGGAAGGACGCAGGGTCAAGCTGCCCTTTCTGTGGCACCCAAAACTCCCTCCCCTCCTGGCTTGGTCGGGCTGAGACTGCTGAATGGCCAATTTGCAGCCTGCTGACTTGGCTGCTTTTAGCAATAAGCCACAGTGGTTTCGGGCACTTTACTGGTTTGCTGACATCTCCCCATACAGTCCAACCTGTTTATAAAAACCTCCAGTGATGGGAATTCCACAACTCCTCTTGGAAGCACGTTCCAGAGCTTAACTACCCTTATAGTTAGAAAGTTTTTCCTACCATCTAACCTAAATCTGCCTGGCTGCAGATTAAGCCCATTATATCTTGTCTTGCCTTCAGTGGACGTAGAGAACAATTGATTATTGTCCTCTTTATAGCAGCCCTTAACATATTTGGAGAATGCTATCACGTCGCCCCCTCAGTCTTCTTTTCTCAAGACTAAGCGTGGCCAGTTTTTTCATCCATTTGTCATAAACCTTCTATCATTTTTGTTACTCTGCTCTGGACTCTCTCCAATTTGTCCAGATCTTTCGTGACATGCGGCGCCCAGAATTGGACAGAATTGCTCCAGCTGAGATCTCACCAGTGCTGAGTAGAGCAGGCCAATTACCTACCGCGTCTTACATATAACACTCCTGTTGATACACC